AAAGCTGAGGTTTTACCGCCTGACACAGATTGTCACCACTTTGTTCTTGAGGTAGTTGATACTTTCACTAGCTGTAACTTTCAACAGTTTCATTTAACCTTTCATGGAATTGCTATGAAACCTTCGTATTGTTATTGTAATTAGAGTGATTGGAGAAGGTTAGAGGAGCCCTATGGAAGCATCTTTCTGAGCATCCCGACTGTTCTCGATGCATCGTTGGCTCCGGAGGGACGTCATATCCTTCACATTTTTACCACTTCTTCCATAGAGGATTGGGAGGTGAGTATATAAACTGTTAATGATAGTTTTAATTTTTTTAAAAAAATTAGGCTTCGGACGTCCCACTCTTCGTATCTGTTATGACTTTCTCCACCCTAAACTAGTTCTAGAAACAACAAAGATTTTATGTGTAATAGCCCAAGCCCAAACCCACCGTTAGCAGATATTGTCCGCTTTGGTCCATTACGTATCGCCGTCAGTCTCACGATTTTTAAAACGCGTCTACTATGGAGAGTGTCTTTCCCTACTCCAACTAGTGTCTCTGCGAGATCCCACATCGGTTGGGGAGGAGAATGAAGCATTCTTTATAAGGGTGTGGAAACCTCTCCCTAGTAGATGCGTTTTAAAAATCTGGAGGGGAAGCCCGAAAGGGAAAGTCCAAAGAGGATAATATTTGCTAGCAGTGGGCTTGGGCTGTTACAAATGGTACAGAGCCAAACACTGGTTGATGTGCCAACGAGGACGCTAAGCCTCCAAAGGGGGTGGATTGTGAGATCCCACATCGGTTGGGGAGGAGAATGAAGCATTCTTTATAAGGGTGTGGAAACCTCTTCCTAGCCGACGCATTTTAAAAACCTTGAGTGGTCCGAAAGGGAAAGCCCAAAGAGGACAATATCTGCTAGCAGTGGACTTGGGTTGTTACAATCTCGCACCGTCCGGTGTTTGACTCTGATACCATTTGTAACAGCCCAAGCCGACCACTAGTAGATATTTTCCATTTTGGCTCGTTACATATCGCTGTCAACCTCACGGTTTTAAAACACGTCTACAAGGGAAAGGTTCCCACATCCTTATAAGGAATGCTTTGTTCCCCTCTCCAACCGACGTGGGATCTTCCATTATGTTTTTTTGTATTAGACTTTGATTTATTCTCCATCTGCCTATTTTTCACCCTCCATTTGATTAGTTGTTGCATCCTAAACCAGGGGCTCTCCAGAAAAGAATACGAAGAGAAGAAGGAGCAAATTGCAAATGAAATCATTTCTAGACTTGAGAAGAAACTATTTCCAGGCTTAAAATCATCTATTGATTTTATGGAGGTATATGTTTGGTTCTAATGCTCTACTACACAATCCTGCTGAGTTTTATAAGTATCTATGCTTGAGAAACTTCGACCACTTAAAAACCGCACCACTCCTTACAGAATACGGGTGCGTTTCGTAAAAACTCGAATCAAAATAATAAAATGAAGTAAGCTTCAACAAAGATTGAACTTGTTAAAATGATCCATAGTAGTACATGTTACTGCTCTAATCGCCATGGCTTTCGGGTGTCTGGCTATGTTGGCTGAAAATTTCTGAAATGATGACAGATTGGGACACCGAAGACACACAGACGATTCCTAGCTCGTAATAATGGTACCTATGGACCAATGCCACGGGGAACCCCTAAGGGATTACTTGGAATGCCATTTAATACAACTGTGAGTTTATGATTGAATGCTAACCTCCTATCTATGTGCTTAACTTACATCCAACTGAAGGGCCATGACTGATGACCTGCAGGGTATAGATGGGCTGTATTGTGTCGGTGATAGCTGCTTTCCTGGACAAGGAGTAATAGCTGTAGCCTTTTCCGGAGTGATGTGTGCGCACCGAGTAGCTGCTGATATCGGTGAGCTTTCAATTTTTCCAGATATTTGGTGATCATTTACCATCTCGAGTAGTCTTCCGAAACGAATTTAGCTCAAGCAAGTTAGGTTCGCCCAACTTTGAGACCTTGCAGAACTAGTTTGGTGATCATCATTCTGAAATGAATTACTTGTTTCACGAACTATACAACTCATAACTTTGAGTTCCGATTATCATTCGATGGTATCTAGTTTCGTTGTAGCTTGGCAAGAATCATACTGCCTCCTAACGCGTTCTACTTTGACAGGGCTTGAAAAGAAGTCCCCCATTTTGGATGCTGCTCTTCTTCGGCTACTCGGTTGGTTAAGGACCTTGGCTTGAGTTCATGGCGCCGTAAATGTTTTACATGGTCTGCTGTGTAAGTAGCTGCTATAGTTCCTTATAAATAGAGCAGTAGAAGCGAACGTCGTATTCATACATTTATGATTCATGTAACGTTAACCAATCTGTTCATGAATAAATAACCGAGTTTGTACCAAAAAAGCACCTCTGAACTGAATGTTTCTCTTGTAGAAAAGGAAGAACAGAAAGGTGCTGCCAACATTTTATGTTCATGGCTTTGGAACTAAACCTCTACTGTTAAAGGCTACTATATTTAGCTGTTTAAATGTTCTAGCTAGATGATGCACCTCCAGGAGCAAGCCATACTGACGATAACACGTCCCCGTTCGGCCTTCGATGCTATCACCTTCTCCAAAAGGTAAGTACATTACCAATGGAGTTTCCATAATAGAGATTTTTACTATTTGTAAGACCCTGCAACTCAGATTCAAGCTCAAGCAAACCAATGCTCTGATTGCTTGTAGCAAATCTTCCTCAGAAAATCTTTTGCATTCTGTTTCTGTTAAACTCCTGATAGTTTCATCCTCCTCAACGAAATGTAAGCTAAGAGACGATACCCGAAAGCCATGGCGATCAGAGCAGTAACTTCGACTACTCCGTTGTCCATTTTCATACCCTTTACGGTAGGTAGGATGTTGTTGTACTGCACCTTTAGGAGAAGCTTGTATGTGTGATAGTTGAATGACACGAAACGGATCCAAGACACGAACACCGGAACTTTCTGCAAAAAAATGATATGATATGTGAACCTCATAGTATATCACTCATTCCATCTTGTTACATGCTTGTTAAACTTTAGTTCCTATGCTTTTATGTAATTACGTTTTTAGACCTGATCTATCTGGATAGTCGGACAACAACTGAGCTCTCAAGTTTAGACATGATCTACCTTGATAGCCGATTAAATTTTAGACCTGAACCACTTTGATAAGCCGGACAACAACTGAACTCCCAAAGCTATAGAGATCAAAACAGAATCAAATGCAGTGAATCTTTATGATCTTGTTGAAGTTTAGATTCTATACTTGTAAATAACTTATATTTCCCGTCTCCATCTCCACTACCTATGGTCGACCTAGGCTTAACTTCGATAATATGAACTAAAACTTCACTAAAATTCATTATGAAAGAGAAGCACGTTACTTGTACAAAGAATCCACCGGCAAGCATGAAGGTCATGACGGTGACCGAGGCTAAAGTCGTGGCCTTCTTGACATCCATGAGTGTAGCTCCAATAGCCAAGCCAAGGCCCTATATGATGAAACAACTCATTCAAACCACTCCTCCAAGCAAACCCAATGAGCTCAATCCGAAGAAGAAGAAGATGGCATACCTGAGCAGCCACTATGCAGAGGAAGACAGTGACCATGGTGAGGAAGAAAGGAGCAGCGCTAAGCCTTAGGCCTGCCATGAAGTAGACAACGAGAAGGAAAAGAATAGGCAACAAAAGATCAAGTGGAAGATCACTTGTGGTTCTTGCCAAAAAGTAAGCGCTGAATCTGTACATATCAGCCGCTCTTTCTTTGTTTAGCATTGCTCTTTCTTGAGGGAATGTGAATATTGCTGTAAACACTGGGAAGAATCCCCAAAACACTGCTATGAAGAACAGCAATCCAGCCTATAACAATGGAAATGAAAGCATTTAGGCAAGCAACGGCCTGAATGTCGTGAAATTCTTGAGCGGAATAAATCGAAGCTTCTGTAAATCGTTAAGATTTCAAGCTTCAAAGTTTCTACAACAATGGAGGAGTTGAACTACCTGGTCATGCAAGCCTTTTGGAGTGCCACTTTCCGATCGCCACCACAGTAACCCTAAGATAACGGCGGTGGCGAGAACTTGAGTGATTCTCAGCCAGCTGAAGTATTCATGGCGTCTTTCTTTAATTCCTCTATGGAACAGTATCGAATATTGTTCCCACCAGCTCGCTCCCCATTGCCTTTTCGAAGACTTCACCTTCGATTTCAGCTCTTCGTCGAGCATTAGAGGTGCGAGCATCTTCCTCTTTTCCTTCTCTGCAACCCTCGTCTCGTAAGCCTCCACAAGATACTGCTTCACATTATTGCATTCCAATCAAATCATCGTCGTTCATTTTCAGTGCGCATTATTGCAGGTATTACATTCTAATTGAAAACTGGATGCCTTGACTCGAATTTTATGAAATTCAGACGATCTTCTAGCTATGGAAATTCTACTATGATCAGGTTATTTCAAAGTGGATTATAATCATGTTGAAGTCAAAGCCAAAGAAGTGAAGAATGTGGCTTGATTTCCCGAAACATACCTCCTGCACAAGAGCTGGAGAAGGCCTATCGAGCCTACTGTCAGGCTCAGAATTCTCTACTTGCACCTTATCCTCTAGCTCTGATGGAACAGACACATCATTGAGGTTGCCATTTGCAAGGTCAAGCAAGAACTCAGCAGGATTCATTGCAATAAGTGGGGAACATCCTATAGATGAGAAATAGTTCATTGCTTCTGCTGCTTTTCCATAGTAGATTAAGTTTCCCTTCCCAAGAAGAATTAGCTTGTCGAAGTTGTGGAATAGTCTGCTTGATGGTTGGTGAATCGTTGTCACCACGGTCTTCCCAGCCTGCCATGGAAGAACACATTAATCATTCTATGTTGGAGCTAATCAGCCAAGGAAAAAAGTATGTATATATGTGCATATACTTCAGCTATCTCATGTAAAATCTGAACAATTCTCAATGCAGTTGTAGAATCCAAGCCTGAGGTTGGTTCATCAAGAAAGAGGAGAGAGGGGTTGATTAAGATCTCATTGCCTATACAGACCCGACGCCTTTCTCCACCCGAAACCCCACGGACGAAGGAGCCACCAATCATTGTATCCTGGCACCTGCAGGAGGATCTATATTGGTGAGTGCCTATTCCAGAAGAATGTAGCATGGTATGATTCAATGCGTTTTCAGTTAGAAAGAGCTGCAAAGCTTTACTTTTCAAGGCCCAGCTCATAGATAATGTCCATAGCACGCTTTTCCTTTTGCTCTTTTGTCAATGCTCTTGGCAGTCGTAGCAAAGCTGCATATCTCAATGTTTCTTTCACTGTCAAGTGGGGAAATAGAACATCCTCCTGCATCACGAATCCTATCCTGTAATGGCATTTTATTTTGTCATGATCAAAATATGTTTCTTAATAATCTTTCTACATTAGTACTGGAATCTGAAATGTAAACCGTGGACTTCGTCTAGAATTCTTGCCTGCTTTTCAGGAACTTATTGTATGGTTGATCATTGTAGGTAATTGAACCACCAACTGTAGATCGTATGAGCCGCCCTCCGAGCAGATTGAGTAATGTTGTCTTGCCACTTCCAGAAGGTCCCATTAAGGCCAGAACTTCGCCTGGGTGTACCAAACCGGTAATCCCGTTCAGGATCTCCTTCTCCACATTTGTCCGCAGTCCTTTTATAATTACTTTATAAGTAACATCTGTGAACTGCAAAAATTTTCATCCAGACAACAGGATGAACTGAGTTCAGTAAAGTTGCAGACAATCATTATTCACCATATTTTGGGCAAATATTCAACTCAGGTTAGAGATGGCTATGTTTCCCAGAAGTATACTTCTTTCCCTCTACAAAGTGATATGCGTTGATTAGCTTCTTTGAGCCTTAAACAACCTGATTTTTGACGTGCATGAACTCAATGTTTTCTAAAAATCAGGCTTGTCAAGATTCCAGGAGGACAATTATCCTTTCAAGTTTTTTATTTTATCTTTCTGGTTCTTATTTTGTTCTCTCAGTTGGGTGGAAAGATGGGATGAGTCTTGTACATGAATGGTGATATAAAATGAAACTTTGTACAAGACTGAACCTGACCATGCTATAATTTACATGCTAGCTTAGCCATGTTCTATGGGGATTGTGCTTTAATCTCTACATCAATCTCCCTGTTTTTGCCTGTCCAAATAGATAGCCATAATTCATTTGACATCAGAAAAACAGAACATACAACTTTGAACACTCATTTTTTTTCTTTTTTGTTTTTGGTTATCAAAGATTAGGTGGCCATGTATTGGGGGAGAATCACTTTATTTCAATGGTGAAATCACACTTTATTTACCTTGAGATGAATAGGCATGGTTGGTTCTGTTTGAAATCTGGCCTTGCGTGTTCCTGCTTGTACATCCTCTGCTGTTATATTATATGCATATAAACGTTAGACGGTCGAAGCGGGAATTTACCCCAAGATACTTCTTTCTTGAAATGTAGATCTACCATTATTTTCTTATATGAGAAGCCAACTTCTACTGGAAATGATCAAAGTTGAAAAGAAAACACCATACAGAGAGAAAGATATTAAAAAAAAAAACACCCCAAGTAGTTTGAGGAACTTAGACCTCTCACTTCTGAGTAAAACTCAAGCCTTACTAAGTAAACCATTGATTGCATATGTTCTTGCTGATTCACTTTCTTTGTAACCAACTCCTTACCTAGTGACTAACACACACCTAATGTCCTAATAATAGTTTTCGGCAGCTAACAATGGACTAAAAGCATTGGAAGCAGCCCGAAACGTTCGAAAATAATCATCTATAGAAGAGTCAGAAAGAGTAAATAATGTCAATTGGATATACTGGGAAGGAGTCAAAGGTAGGTAAAGGAATTTGAGGGTGAGTCTACAAATATGAAATTGAAGTCTTCAATGATTGAACTTTTCTTTCAATAATAACACATGGGCCCTAGTCAGTCTGCTGATTTGATTATTAGTACCACCTAATAGCCTTTCCTTCACAAGTTTGGTATCCATTACCAGACAAAGAAGCATCAGTGTCCCAGATAAGGCCAAATCAACCCCCCACCAAAAAAAAAAACAAAAAAAGGAAGAAGAGAGAACAGAGAGAAAATGCAAGCCAAGCAAATTACTGGTTCTGTTGCAGCAAGAGAGTTTTAAAAGTAAAGGAGGAAAAATTGTAATATCTCAAGCCCCCGCCGTTGATATTATCCTCTTTGAGCTTTTCCTTCAAGTGCTTCCCCTCAAGATTTTAAAACACGTCTACCAGGGAGAGGTTTCCACACCCTTATAAGGAATACTTCGTTCCCTCCCCCCCTCCCACCAATGTGGGATCTCACAATTCACCCCTCTTGGGGCCCAACGTCCTTGCTGGCACACCGCCCGATGTCTGGCTCTGATATCATTTGTTACTCAAGCCCACCACTAGTAGACATTATCTTTTTTGTGCTTTCCCTTCAAAGTTTTAAAACGCATCCACTAGGGAGAGGTTTCCACACCCTTTTAAGGAATGTTTCATTCCCCTCTCCAAACAAAAATACTCTACTTCACTGTTCTAAGACGGGAAGATTGAATGCCGTAAACTCCAAAATTGTACTTCAAGTACTTGAATTTGGGGGGATTTTTAATAATAGACTATAGAGCCAAAAGTACAGAAAAGAACGTTAAAAAAGTATTATGATTGTTAAATTGGTATGAGGGTAATGACAGCACTCTTTTAAGCCTTATCTTCCCATGCTTCAATAGAATACAGAGGCAGAAGGTCAAGCATATAACCACAAGATTTGAGTACTTTTATTGCCACAACTACATTTAGCTTTCCCATTGTAAGCGAAACCATGCTTTCTCTTTACCAAACAAAAATGGGGTTCAGAAAAACGGGACCCATAGCCCAACGGATTCTCATCTTCCTTTACCAAACACATTGTGTGAACCATATTGAAAAAGTAGGAAGAGAACGTGAAGAACATAAAAGAAAGTAGATGACGAAGAAATCGAAACTAATCTTCGAAAATTAGCAGTTTGTATTGTATTTGAAGAATTTTGTTTCATGAGTATTCGTTTGTGTTCTTGTTTCTGTGGATTCCATTCTAAATTATCAACTAAATTTCTTCCTGTGCAAATAGCTATACTATACACCGACACGTATATCTTTTAGAACTCGAAGGCAATCGTAGAATTTATAGAACAAGTCATGTTCTTGAAGAATTACTTACGTATATCTTCATCACTAAATGTCTTGGAATCAGCAATTTCATCAGGTGGCAGTGTGAAGCCAGTGAAGGAGAATGACAAGCCCAAGCTAGCACTTGAAGCTCTACTCAGGGCTGCACCACTGCCCAAGTCATCCAAATCCAGCTTCAGTTGTGCACTCCTAGACTTCCTGATATGTGTGTTTCGACCACTGCCACTGCCACACCCCGGCGAAGGAGCTGTCAGCGTCTGCTTGCTCGGCTTCCTCGACAACGTCAAGCTACCACTCTCCCCCACCACCCCATTTGCCTCTCTGCTCGTCGTCGGTGACTTGAATGCTGCTGCCACCTTCTCCAACAGTTGATCGGATTTCGTCCTCGCCAATCCTAACGAACTTGTTTTCTCCATGTCGTCTCCAACCTTCCTATCTAAGTCATGTCACACACACACACACACACATATATGCTATGATGAATGTGTAATGATTAAGAGTAATGGTTTGACAATTCGCCATTGTGAAAGAAGATCATAGTTCATATTGACCATACCTTTTTGGTGATGTTGAAGGACGAGTGGAGATTCAGAAGTGAAGAGGTTTAGAGAGAGAAAGAGTTGGCTCAATCTATTGCACCATCAATGGTGCTCATTCACTTCTTATATAAAGAGCCATTAGAAGAGGGAATAGTTTGTTTTTTTTAGTACCGAAAATACCCTTATGTTTTATGGTATATAACAACTGTGCCTAATATCCCATATTTGATGTTACTAGACTTTAGAAATTGTATGTTTTTTTAAGGAAGGCTTTTTTTCTTTTTCTTTTTCTAATAATGAAAGGTGAGACATTTTGCACCTTATCTCACCAAGCATCAATCATTCTCAAAACAACCCTACCATCTTACCCGTACACGTGTTCCAAAGTTTCGTATTTTTTTCGTATTCTCAAAGAAATCAATTTCATTTTCAAGCAATTTCTATGGGAACGAAGCCTCCTTAATAGGGAAATAAATGCATGTACATTGCGTTAAATTATATATAATTCTAGCATGATTTAATTTAGAATAAGGTTTTAAATCTGGGTTCTAGATCTTTGATGGTAAGAGATAATTTAATTCTAGCATCATCCAAATTTTGTATAAAAATGTGTTAATTTTTATTTCTAATGATCGTCGTGTTCCGCATGCTGCAAAACCGTATGGCGGGGTCGATCCTGTGACTAAGATAGTCGCGCCAATGGATTTTTCTTCTTTCGAACCCCATAGATATCTCGCGTTTATTGATTATGGCGAAAATGAATCAAACTTGAAGATTGATCATAGCTACCAAACCCATTTTTTTTTCTGATCCTTTGATACAAAGATTCATTCTCTTCAGAACTCTGAGAGAGGGATCCAGAATTTGAGGAAGCATTCCTCCGATCTATGACAACAAGGGATTGGACTCGAGATTTATGGATTGAATAAACCCGATATATATATATATATATTCCATAGCTTGTTTTTTCGAACGTTTACCTTCCGAATTGAGGGTCCCCCAGTAAACACCATACAGACTTTCTTCCCTAGAAAAGCTGATTCAAGGGTTCTTGCTCAAACAAAAACTTGGATCGTTAGGTTGAGAATTAAGATTGTCTTATCATTAAGTCAATTCATCTGGGTTTCTAAAAATTCATCTTCTTAGAAATAATGTAATTCCTCTTTTGTAGTTTACCCTCAGTCACTTTTAACCGAAATGACCAAATTGAAAAGACACTCAAACATAGGGAACATAAACATGTGTTTAGCAAATACGTATGTCACAACTACACGATTACACGAGTTTTTTGTGGGCGTCATTTTGCTTTGTAAATCAGGGTTTTTAGTCCAATTAAGGGAAAAGCTTTTCACAATAATGAAGTGTTTGAAGAACTCATGCATTGCTTGATGAATTTAAGGCCAAAAGAATCAAATTTTTGTTTGAGTTTGAAGACCTTTTTGGTGACCAAATGTGAGGCCATTCTTTGCTATTACATTACCTCTACACAAAGGAATTCAACAACACTTTTAATACTATCAATGTTCATCATTTTAAATTAACCCTAAAAATTGTTATATTTTAGAACTCGAAAAAAAAAACGGTTACTTGTAACTTACTCGAGCTTAATATTTGTAATATTAAAAAAAAAATCAACATTTTGTAAAGTTTTAAATTAAAACGATCATAAAACTGGTAGGAAAAATAACCGTTTTTTCGTTCACCTAAATATAGCTAAATTGGATAAGATATGTAATCTCGACCATTAGCTAAGCGACTTAATACCGCTCACCATCGAGCTCTAAATTGATGATTTTTTTTTTTTCGAATTTCAAAACATTATTCGTTTAGATGTACCAAATGATTAAGGATCTTATCCATTAATCATTAAGCACAAACCTCTCCCTCTTTAATTTCCCATATTATCTTCTAAACTTTTAAATTTATTTTTTCTTTGTTATTTTTTTTTATTATTTATGTTTATTATTGTTTCTTTTTTATTTATTTTTATAAATTATTTGTTTAAAAATAATTATTAATATTCATAGTTCAAAAATCTAAAATTTTTGTTAATAAAAATAAACTAAATAAGAACAATTAATCAATAATCTCAATTAATTAATTGATGTTAGTGTACAAACGTATTATAAATAATTAATTGATTATAAATGAATATTAATTTGTTTAAATATAATTTTGTAGTACAACTTCTTATCATTCTTAAACTATCCCAAAAAAAATCATAAAATTAGTTTTGTTTTAATTTATATGATTTTAAAAGTTTGGATTTGATTATTTCTATTAAGGTATAGAATATGATATTTTTTATTTTTTATTTAATTAAATTAAAATTTGTTTTTAATTAGTTTATGTGTGGATATAGT